GGCTCAATAGTCTAAAATGAATAGTTAGAGCCCTAGTAAGAAAACTCAATAGTCCAAGTTGGTTGTTAGTTAGTGTGTTGGTAATATGATGAGGGTTAGTAAGATGAATATGGATATGCTTTTGTGTTTGGTATTGAGATTTTTTGCTTTATGATGAACTATAATTAAATGAGTATGGAAATGACTAGTGTTGGTAATATGATTAATGTTATGTTATTATCCTATAGTATTGTCTTGTTACTTTGTTTAGCTATTAATTACATGATAGTTGTAGAATATAATTATTTGTTTGTCTATATAGGATGGATTCAATTGAAGTGGACAATAATGATTCAAGTTCAGAAAGTGATTCATCATCTGATTTGGATGATTCACTTGGAGAGTTGCTTTTAGTTACAAGACTATATGATCATTACTCACGTTTAAATAAAGAGCCATGCATGACTTCACATTTTTCAAGCTGCCAATATGTGATAGATTTATTGAATGGACATCCACATAGGTTATTTGATATTATTAGGATGGATAAAAACACATTCAAGAATTTGTGCTCGACATTGAGAGAGATGAACTTTCTACAAGATGATAGATCAGTTTGTGTGGAGGAGGCCGTATGCATGTTCTTGTTTACTATCAGTCATACAATCTGCAACAGGGTAATTGCTGAAACTTTTCAACATTCGAAAAAGACTGTGTCAAGACAATTTAATCGAGTTCTCAAAGCAATATGTCGACTTGGTACTCATATAATTCAACCTCCAAATATGGATGCAACACCTTCTGAGATTTTGGGAAATCCAAAGTATGACCCATGGTTTCAGGTAATATATTTATAAAGTACATTTTATTTTTTAGTTAGATCATGACCATTTTTCTACAAAACCTAGAAAGATACATGTTTAAAGCTCTAGAATAACAACTTAGGTTGAAGTAAACTATATTTTGTGTACTAATATGTTATGATTTGAACTATAAAATGGTAGAATTGCATTGGTGCTATTGATGGAACACATATCAGTGCATGGGCTCCTTCATCAAAACAAATTTCATACCGAGGTAGAAAAGTTAGTGTGACAAAATATTATGTTGGCATGTTCATTTGATATGATGTTCACATATGTCTACCGGATGGGAAGGAACGGCTAATGACTCGAGAGTGTTGATGGATGCAATAACAAGAGAAGAGAATATGTTTCCAATGCCTAAAAAAGGTACGAAGTCATAGAAACATATCAAATTACTTGTAATTTTTTTTCTTTTTGTATTTGGCTCAAGTGAAATACTTATATGCATTGTTCTTGGAATAGGAAAATATTATGTTGTTGATTCCGGCTATGCCAACATGAGTGGGTTTCTTGCACCATATCGCAAAGTGCGTTATCACTTGCGTGATTTTAGAGGAAGAGGTAAACGTCCAAGAGGAGCAATGGAATTGTTCAACTTTAGGCACTCATCACTACGTAATGTTGTTGAACGATGCATTGGAGTGCTTAAGAATCGTTTCCCTATTCTAAAGTTGATGCCAAATTATCCAATTAGGAAGCAAAGACGCATTCCCGTTGCATGTTGTGCCGTGCACAATTTCATTGGAATGCAATCAAGGAATGATACTTTGTTTCAACAATTTGAAGACAATGATGTTGATGTGGTAGATGAAGAAAGCTCGGGGCCTAATCAAGAAGGGGAAAACATGCATTTGAATGACGACAATGTTATGAATGATGTTAGAGACCACATAGCCGGATCAATGTGGCTTGATTACGTCAATAACAATTAGTCTCAAAGTTTATTGGTTTTCTAGAATGTTTTAATGTAATATTTATTATCTAAGACTTGAAGTTTAATTTGATTATCGAACATATATGTGTTGCATTAGCACATAGATATCAAAATAGTATGTTTAAGGTTTAATTTCATATGTTTTGTATATCTTAAAACAAATACATAATTGGAAAAAAGAAAAAAAAAGAAGCTGTTTTCAAGAGTTAAACCAAACAAGTTTTCAAATTTTTAGATTCGAAAACAGTTTTTAAGTTCAATGCCAAACAAGTTTTTGAAACCTAAAAAAAACTATTTCTAAGAGATGATTCTGAAAATTAGTTTTAAGAACAATTCAAGTTTTTTAGTAGGATACCAAACAGGCTCTTAGGTTTTAACCCAAGGGTTGGAGATGGTCTTAGGGTGATTATTGCCTAGACTATTGGACAATTGACAATTGTTGTCTTAGTGAAAAGTAATTGTCCAAGAGCATCTCCATCCCTAAATTAAATTGCCTATGCAATTCACCTTAAAAAATTATTTTTGATAAAATAATAACAAAAATATCTCTTTTAAGGAACCATCCCTTTCTCCTTTCTTTTCTACCTCTGCCCTTCATTTTCTCCGTCACAACACAGAGATTGCAACCAGAATGCCATCGTCAGTTTCTGGAACCATCCATTTCTCCCTCCCTCGTTTTTTGAGCCATCCCTTTCTCCTTCCTTAGGCAGAGTTCATCGCCTTCACCTTCGCCTTCATCCTGGTACGCAGATCTGGAGCTTGCTTCGTTTGTCCTTCTTCGCTTTCCCTAGCTCTTGGCCTATCTATTCCATCGCCCTAGCCTGCAAATTTTTTTTGTCATGTGACGTTGGCATGACGCCATATCACCTAAGGTGCAGAAGCGGGCTATAACAACCTGAGTGCTGAGTCTGGGGGAGTTAAGCCCAACGAATAGCAAGGGGAATTTGTGTGCGCTGCAGCAACTTGGGGTAGGCAGATTGAATCACCCAATTCAAGGGGGATTTGTTGGGGTGGACTGGCTTGGACGACTAACTCATTTCAGCCTAACCCATCTGAGGGCTCAGACATAGTTTATATGATTTTTACCACCTTCAAATGTAGGGATAAAAACACTGAAAAATACTTGCAAAAGTATAAGGTAATCGTAGTATAGTTGGCTTTAGCAAGGTCGTTTCCACATGGTTGAATGAATAATGTATGTTACACCAAATCTTAATTAAATATTTGAAAACAAAGTTTGAAAAATGGTGATTTTATGATCTAAAATATTAAAAACGAATTTAATTAAAAAAAATTAAATAAATTGGTAAAGTAAAGAAAACAAAAGAAAATAGATTTGAAAATAAATTTGAGCACTAGGTTCCGCGTCACCTTAACAATCCTACGTAATTCTTCCAATTATTTATGAATTACTCATGCATATTTTGATGGTTAGATTTTCCTAAAGTATGTCATACTTGGAACCTCTAACATAGAACGTATATCTAACATACAACCCGTCTGTGATGTCTAGATCGAATGTGAACATGCAAGACCGATTAAGTTTTGTGAAAACCTTTTGAAAAATCATATAACCCTTAAGACGTGTCGTCCATTCTAATAAGTTACACATATTAACCACAAGAAGCCTTTGTCAATTTCAAGGACTGTCCTCTGTCAAATTGGCATCGAATTACTTTTCTAAATATCCTAATGATGACCAATCATAAAGACAATTAGATAGCTTAAACATGATGATTAATAATTCAAAACCTGCATGCATAATATCATAAGTAAATTGAAAAGAAACTACATATTCTTAGTAAGGCTCGTGGCCTTGCCCTAGCAAACGGAAATTAATTACGCACAATCATTAAACAAAATACTATTAAGAACATGGATAGAAAACACTTTGAAAATAAACTTGAATCATCAAAAACTCTCTAAACTATGTTCTCCAGAGTAGTGCCTTCTCCTTTTCTCTTCTCAAACCCTAATGGCTAAAAAGTCTTATTTATACTACTACAAAATAAAACCCTACCTAGAGAAGGTCTTAGAATAAGACTAGGAAAACAAATAAATTAAAATCAAATAGGAAATATAATCTTAAATTGAATAGTAAAATTCACCTAAAATCTGCACAGCCATGTTTTAGACCCATATCTGCTCCAAAACTGGCCCAAAATAGTTGGATTTAAAGCTTGGATTATGCTGAACACTTTCCATCACTGCGCACTGTTTTTTTATTTCATCGCCAGAAAATAATCGTTTGGTGGAAAAATCTAATATTTTGACATGATCAAGCTAAGCAACTCACGAACGTCCTCCAATTGGAATTACTCCAAAATTCATCCATTTGCTCACGTTTTTCTCAAGAGGAAGTTGAATGCCCTATATTAAGAAATAAAGCAAAGTATCAAAATTCTCACAAAATAAACAATAAATTAATACTAAAAATATGGTAAAATATATAGTATAATATCGACTCATCAATAGTTCTACCCCAAGTGTGTATGTCACGTAGATGACAAGATCTGAGATTACCTCCCTTCCTTAAATATCGAGGAGTGTTGAGAATAAATCTCATATTGATGAGAGTATGGACCTTGCAATGACTTATAAGTAAGTTAAACTACTTTCCATATTATTAATTAATTTTATGGTGGAAATTATTTTAAAAGAATATGATATTTTCGAATGAAGGCTATTGATCTAGAGAAGTTCGATCGTCCTGGTAAATAATGTTATTGGTACCATAAATTAACACTTTGTTTATATTGGCAGAAACAAAGCTGCATGATCTTTATCTAATTTTATTGTACAATTCTGATTTCTGCAGAACTCTCTAATTTATAAAACTTCTCTCCTTCCATGAGAGCCTTTCTCTCCATCTGGGAGAGTTTCCTCCCTTCCTTTTGGTGAGGGTCTTCATCTTGTCCACCTTCTTAGGCGTCGACACTCGCTTTGGCTGGAGTCGATTGCCACTATTCTCCTAATCTTCCTGTTTTCTTCTTCCATAAATTAACACTTTGTTTATATTGGCAGAAACAAAGCTGCATGATCTTTATCTAATTTTATTGTACAATTCTGATTTCTGCAAAACTCTCTAATTTATAAAACTTCTCTCCTTCCGTGAGAGCCCTTCTCTTCTTCTGTGAGAGTTTCCTCCCTTCCTTTTTTTCCCGATGCTTCTTTTTTTCCCCTGCTCTCCTTTCCGATCTGGCCATTTTTTCCTACCCCCATTAGTGTTTCTCCTTGCTCCTCTTTGCTCCGATATGCAGCTGCTTCAAAACCGCAAATTGTTGCGGTTCCTTCTTCTTCTTCTTCTTCTTCTCCCGATGCTTCTTTTTTCCCCTGCTCTCCTTTCTGATCTGGCCATTTTTTCCTACCCCCAGTGGCGTTTCTTTCCTATTTGGCCATTTTTTCCTCCCCCCAGTGGCGTTTCTCCTTGCTTCTTCTTCTTCTTCTTCTTCTTCTTCTTCTCTTTTTGCTTCTCCCAATGCTTCTTTTTTTCCCCTACTCTCCTTTCCGATCTGGCCATTTTTCCTACCCCCAGTGGTATTTCTCCTTGCTCCTCTCTGCTTCGATATGCAGCCGCTTCAAAACCGCAAATTGTTGCGGTTCCTTCTTCTTCTTCTTCCCCAGTGGTTCTTCTTCTTCTTCTTTTCTTTTTGCTTCTCCCGATGCTTCTTTTTTTCCCCTACTCTCCTTTCCGATCTGGCCATTTTTCCTACCCCCAGTGGTATTTCTCCTTGCTCCTCTCTGCTTCGATATGCAGCCGCTTCAAAACCGCAAATTGTTGCGGTTCCTTCTTCTTCTTCTTCCCAATGGTGTTTCTCCTTGCTCCTCTCTGCTTCGATATGCAGCCGCTTCAAAACCGCAAATTGTTGTGGTTCCTTCTTCTTCTTCTTCTTCTTCTTCTCCTCCTCCTCCCGATGCTTCTTTTTTTTCCTCTGCTCTCCATTCCGATCTGGCCATTTTTTCCTACCCCCAGTGGCGTTTCTCCTTGCTCCTTCTTCTTCTTTTTCTTCTTCTCCCAATGCTTTTTTTCCCCTGCTCTCCTTTCCGATCTGGCCATTTTTTCCTACCCCTAGTGGCATTTCTCCTTGCTCTTTTCTGCTCCGATATGCAGCCGTTTCAAAACCGCAAATTGTTGCGGTTCTTAGAGATGGTGTGTAAAGTTTCGGTGTTCCCACCGACTCGGGTGTTCAACACCACCACCTTCTCACTGTTTGTGCCTTTACCGGCAGTGTTGTTCGTGGGTTGCCACAAACTTCATCCTGATAATTGGCTTCTTCCGATCACTTGCTGCCTAACCTTTCTTTGCGGCTGTGCTCGGGACGTTAATCGATGTGAGATGCTGTAATTGATCTGGTGCTGCTTGGCTATGGACGAGGACTTGATCAGATCGATAACGGTGGCGACTGTAGTAGAATTGTCTGGTATTTGGAACCTCTTTTGTGCATTTTGGGCTTCACCTACTGGTTGGCCCTTTGTAGTTTGTCTTTTTTGGCCCGTGTTTTGCTTGTTTATGTGTGATGTTTGGGCATTGGGTTTCTTTTTGTGTATCTTTTTCGTTGTAATAAATGTGAAGAAGCCTTTTTTCAAAAAAAAAAAAAACTCTCTAATTTATTTTCCTTAACATATATTTGATACTTTATTATAAAACAAATGTACAAATACAAGCGGAAAGGGATGAAATGGAAAATCCAGTATTGTATGGTATGAGGTATCTTTCTTACATGAATAACGCCAGAGACAGCTAGGATTTGTTTACATCTAACTTTTCATTTCCTAATTTTTGTTGAAGCTAAAGACAGAAAGTAAATATCCCCCACTAGCAGGTAATGCGTATGCACAGAGAAAAAGAAGTAGGAATCCGAGCATTATAAGTTCATGTGTCGTCAAATTTAGTCTGCTTATAAAACTAAACTAATCAATGGAAACGCATGCATGTATACCTAAATCTCTAATGGTGAAATACTTGTCCTTATTACATTCTTTTCCCAAGCTATGAATTATTAAATCGACAAGAAGAGGATAGCAAACATACTTTAAGTCGTCGGAGGTTGAAAAAAGGCCCCATATCTTCCAAAAACTAACAACTTGATTCATTGAACAATTCGGATAACTACTGGAAAAAAGCCACCCCATCTAGCTATCGTAGGATTATATATTAACAAGATGACCCCACCTAAAAATGCTTGTAAAGTCAAAGAAATTGACCATGCGTGAAATGTATGCATATAACCACTCATGCACACGCCAACCACACATCAAAGGGAGAAAACTAATCTACTCCTACTGTTCTACTGTGTTACAGAGCGAACGCTACCGAATTTTTACTGATAAATTTTTACTCAAAAATAAATAAAAATAAAAAGTTTAACGAGTAAAAAACTCAAAATATTCTATAATACATAAAACCATAAAATATTTTCTCCTCCAAAATCATATATTTCAATTTCCTTATGAAAAAACACTCGTTCTTCTTCCTTTTCTGTGTGCCAGTCACTCTCGTGGGGTTTGTCCTGACGGTGACGTCTCATTCAACTTTCCGAATCCATCAAGCAAACTGTCGCTATCCGACGTTGCATGTCCATCCACGCCACCGTGTTTGACATTTGACCTTGGATTTATTTGCCTTTTGTTTTGTTCTTGTGGCAACTGGTTAACTAGTCTGGTTTTGCAGCTATTGTTGAACTCCAAAGTGTGTGCGCGATGGTGTGAGCACACTTTTACTTAAAAAAAAAAAAGGTGGTACTATCAACACACTTATTTTTATCTCACACATATTTCTCTTAATTTATCGACTGTTGAATCGAAAGAATTAAAAAGAATCAATTTACAACGTGTGTGAATAGCACTTGTTGGCATGTGAAATCCGTACACAACTCTCCCCTGCGTGAATGATAAACTCTTGTCAATTTGAAGGTGCCTTAGCAAAGCCTTGATTAGGCTTTTGAGGCTCTCTTGTAAAAACAGTTGTTTTTAGGCTTGGCATTACTAGTCAAGACCAACATATATATATTGTTTATTTTTAAATGTCATATAGGTTATTTGCTTGCGCCACAAGTAAATTGGCCTTCGTATCAAAAGATTTTTCTCAGGGAGGGGTTAAGTCCATATTTAAGGTCATTTCAATGCGTTGAATACAAAAATTTTATATTTCTTTCGTATTGAATGCAAAAAAAAAAAAAAGACCACAAACTGATTAGTGATGGTCCAAACTAGTTTGCAATCCTTCTAAAAAGGTAAAGATAGAAAGAAAAGTAAAGTAAAATAAAGCGAGAACCGCAAGAAAATGATTGCAAACACTTATGGAATGTTTGTGAAATGGATAGTAAATAACATAAAAAAATGGATAGTAAATAACATAAAAGGACAATAACTTGAAAGCAAATGATAGATACAGGCAATAAGGCAAAGTATAAACCTATTTGGGCAAGTTTCAATGCCTATTGAGCAAGTTCTTGCAGTTACTTAGCAATACTCTGAGAATGGACTTTAATATATGGGGATCGATACTAAAAAGGAAAGTATTAGAGCTATAAGAGAACATTTGAACTACAAAGAGAATAATTGCAAAGTAGATTGTAGAGCTTTCAGAAGTCTTTTTTTTTTTTTTTGTAACATGAGTTCAGTGTTTTCCTTCAATGCCTCTGTTGCCTTTTATAAAATTCAAGGTTCTAAAAGGCGCTAGGCACTAGTTGGACGGCGGGCTAAAGTCTAGCGCCTAGGCAGCTAGGTGGGCGCCTAGGCGGACTAGGCGGATTTAAGTAAATCTATTATATTTCGTGTAAATAAGTGTTTTTCTACATAAAATATATGTAATTACATCATAAACTACAAAAAGAATGACATATATATATATATATATTATGAAATATTGGAATATAATGAAAACATGGGGAACAAGCATATAATGTATGTTCATTTAAGTATTCAAAATGAAAAATATCTATTTTATGTCTAAGTCACAACCTAGGTGGGTCTGGGCGAGCTAAGTGCCTAGGCCGTCTAGGCCGGCGCCTCAGCAGGTCTAGGCATCCTTTCTTAATTTTCAAACGCCTAGGCATTCATTGGGGCGGTGGCCAACTGCATAGCACCTAGGCGGCGCTAGGTGGGGATTTTTAGAACAATAATAAAAACAGTTCATTTCTTCCAAAGTAAGTTCTCAGTTGATGTCTAACTGGTTAACGTGACCTCGTCTGAGGATTAGTTTCCCATTTGGATACTTGAGCTTTGATCTTTTCGTATCTACTACTTTGCCATTGAAAATTGCTTTTCTTTGTAAAAAAAAAACTGACTGCAAAACCCTTCATTCAGTACAAATGAGGGTGATCTTGCCACCCAAATATGTTATGTCAAAAGTAATTTTAAATCTTGGACTGTTCACTATTCATATGTGCCAAAGTAAAACACCCAGTAAGCAAAAAGTTTGGGTTAATATTTAACATTGGGCTTAAGTATTAAGGGAAGCCCAAAGGCGCTAAAACAAATCAAATTTGCCCGAAGCTCAGCAATGAAGCCTGAAGCAAACTGAAGCCTTTTTCAACCAAGGCATAGGTTATGTGCCTATGATTGAAGTGACAAATGACAGAGACCAACTCACTATTAGCCAAAAAGCACTTTCTAGTAGCATTACAAGTAAATAGATAATGACTCACTGCCGTCCGAGAGCCATCGGCCAAGAATGAAGCTAAAACAGTCGGGCTAAATTGCCTATAAAAGCCAAGAGAAGCATAGGAGACTGCTCTTAAGCTAGTTTGTGCCCAGATAGTTGAATCTTGTCCATATCAAGCCTCTTTCAACTATAGTTTACCCATAGAAGGCTACCATTTTGTCAAAGTTTAGAAGCTCTGCTACTTTCCCTTAGTTTTGTAGTATCAATTCCATCTAGGAAACCAACCTTATTTATATTTCCCGCTTATATTTCTATTCTCTAGTACCCTAAAACTTCTACAAACTCAAAGAGAAGTGGTTGCAAAAGGTTCGACCATACCTGACAAGGTTAAATCTTGCTCGACTTCCTTATGTTTGTACTTACATGTTATAGATATGTCATTTAATGCATATTTTGTTGTGTTTTAACTTGCTTTTAACTGCTTTTCACTTTAAAGTTCTATTTATGAATAAATCGAACTAAGTTAATCAACTTTACTTATATAAGTGTTCAACTGATAATCAATCAAATGTTTAGAAGGGCTCTGGACTTCCTTCTCTTAGACATACAAATTATAATTATATGTCCTTGGTCACAAGGCAAGAAAAAGAACTTAATGTAGACTTAACCCATATGCGACAATCCTTTGATAAACAAGAAGTCTAAGTAACTTGGACCGCAAGTAACCAACTTAACTCACTTCGAATCAACAATTTGTTATGTTGAGATAACAGTGGCATGCCCTGCACCCTTATTAGGTTTGATTGTGAGACTCAAAGCCTACACCAACGGCCCCACAAAGGCACATTTCAAACTAACTGTGATCTCTCTTGCAGTATACCCAGCAGTAAGAACTTACCCTATAACCAACCAAATGCCAACACCCCCGGAGAGCTGTGCAAGGGAAATCTTTGCCTGAATATAGTTTTTGGCACGCCTGGTGGGATCAAGATAATCTTGTATGCCAAGAAGAAAAAGGAACGAACGAACTTTCAGGTGTACAATAGAATACGGACAACCTCTTTGTCTAATAAGATCAGGCATGATAGATCACCTGAAGGACTTTCCACCACTACGAGGATCTGCTATCCTAGAGAGCCCGACTTCATTTGAGAAGTCAGGTGAAAAAGTTACCAATGAAGACTTGTAAGCTACTATGGTGCAAGTACTGAAAAACATGAAGAAAATTTCTCTGAAGACTAGAGGGGAGGTCAGCAGACTCTATTCATTAACAAGGAGTCTGCAGAGAAGATTAGAGTTAGAGTACTCCATCCTAAAATATGGTCATCCTAGGGAGATGATGAGAGAGGCAAGTCCTGAGAAAGAACCACTGATTCCCTTATTTCTTTTGCTCGAGGAAAAGAAGGATAGGGGGAAGAAAAAGGAAAACCTGGAACCAGTCAGCCAGAAGA